AGTGTTTACCAGGATGGGTAGTGTGTGCTTTGCCTGGCACAGTGTCTCTGAGCTGGTAAAGCTGGTGGGGCTGATTGGCGTTTTTTTCCAGGGTCCAGGGCAAGAGGAAAAACCTTCGTGCTCGTTGGACACAGAAGCACAGGGCGATGGCCAGTGAGCACCCCAACAGCAGTATCAACAGCAGGGAGAGGACCACAATGTACTGGGGAGGATTTAGGGTACCACCTGGTCCTGAACAAAGACCCAAACAGATTAGGACAGTGGGAGTCTCTGGCCACCTTCCACCTCAGACTCAAGACCCAATTCCTGGTGTCCTAACATCTTGACTCCCCTTCCTAGTGAAGTAACACTTCAATCTTCCTTTTTTTGTCAATTTCAGCAGGATGTTATTGAACATCCTTTTGAAATGTTTTATCATCGGTATTCATAATGGCACCAGTCATTATACCACTGTGTGACAGACTGACAGGTGTTTAGACATGGCATCTCATTTTCTGCATGTATTGTTCATGTGTCTTTATGCATGTTTGTACCTTTCCTTTACAATTAGTTCTGTATAAAAGCATCTGCCATGACTTCTTTTTATTAGACGTTAATGCCCCATTCATTTATACTGAGACCTATCGAATGTTTTTTATTATCCATCCATGCATTAATTGGAGGTGAAATCTATTTTATTATCCACTTGCCATGAGGGGGAGGTGATCCAGCATAGACACCTGTGACATTGCTTCCTGCCTGACAAGTGGCAAGGTCAGATATTAGCACATGCTGTAGCTCTCGCTCCTCAGCATGTAACTTCAATAGGTTTCGCCAATTACTGTCTGTACATTTACAGCACAGACAACAAGGGTGAATCCAACGACAAAAGGATGATAACGGCATATGGGTAAGACAGCTGTCTCAGACAGAATACTGTAATTTCGAATTTTGTGAAATCAAAAAATGACAAAATGTTTCCTGGCTCGAATTCTGACATAGCTCGAAGTCAAATTACCAAGTGATTGATATTAAGACTGGCTAGAATGTTATTTACATTTTTCAAAAACATCACGTCAGTGGAATTTTTATTTGCTTTACTCGTTATGCCTGTTAGTTCTCAGCAGTGCTATGAAAAAGTACTTTATAAAATTAGTCCTGATTCATTCTTCCTATTGGTCAGTTTTCATTCCAGTTGTGACAATATTCACCGATATAACATAGGTAAATGAAATTTTCCTGTATCATTTTGATATCACTGACAAAAATAACCATTGTATCTGATCCACTCCACATCACTGATGAGCTAATTTAAATTCCTGAAGATGGACACATTTATCATCACTTTCGAGAAGTAGTCCTTGTAGTATGCCAGCATCTGAACTCTACCGTGTAACGCTAATAGTCTATGAAATAAATAAAAGTATCTAAAAGCCAGCTTATTAGCTAGCTTGTTCACTGCCTAGCTAGGGAATCCAGCAGCACCGTTTGGATAATATTAGGAAAGGTAAGCTAAGGGTTCATTGGTGGTCTCATGTAATCAGTAGGCTATAACTTATTTATCACAGTCTGATTTCTTATTTTATGTTGATTCTAGCTAAGTGGAGTTCAGCCAGTTAGGGATCCTTTTCATAAAAGCAATATGGTGCACAAACCCATGGTATATCTGAAATATTGGCACAGATAGGAATTTAATACATGAAGAAAGGAAAGACAACTTTCTCAATCATGTTTTTTATCTGCCTTATTTCTCAGGGAATTTCATTTCAACATTATGCCTAGCCTCTTTTGATTGGTCAGCAGTGTGTTGCATTTGGTGCAATATGAGGTTAGAGACAGCTGGAGCAAAGAACCATTTTTCCTCAGTTGTATCAGTAAAAAAAACAGCTGTATAGATAGGCTAAAGCATAAATGTCTATACTTCCCAAGTGCTGGAAGTTGCCTTGGACAAGAGGCCCTATTGAGCAAATTAGGTACAGTACCTGTTACAGTAGTTGTAGCAATTGTAGTGGTTGTTGTGGTTGTTGTGGTGGTAGGGGTCGTGGTGGTTGTAGTAGGACAGAGATACTGACACGCTTCTCTCCATTCCTTGGGACAGTCTGCCCTGAAAAGATAAAATGGAAGCAAAAGAAGCACAGTCCTGAGTACAGGCATCAGACTGGCATGCAGAGTCACCATCCACAACCTCCAGCCTGTGTCTCTGAATTAACCCCAGCGAAGGAGTGTGCCACTGTACTGAACATCGCCACAACCTGCATTAAGGTGGGCCACCTTGACTTGAATTATCATTTCATTAACTCATTTTTAGAAGGGTATTACATTGTATGTTTTTTTTTTTTATCAAAAACTGTTGAGAAAAAACATTCTTAAAACTGGTGGGGGATGCCCCATGTTGACCTCCCTGTGCTGTGCATCAACTTGCATGTTCATCAACATCCTGTTGAATGAGGAAGTGAGTCCCTCATCTTTATGGGTGGAGGGAGTGTACGGACTGCATGTCCGAGCAGCACGAGTTCTAACTTCATCAAAACGTGGGCGTTTTTGAAGGGAAGAGCTCAGTAGAAACTGCAGAGGTGTCTCGCTTGACAGGAAATTCTGATAGTGTCTTATCATGATACACTTTGAAAGAAAGGAAATCCACAACCCAATAACCTAAATGCATATAATTAGCGATTCGACAGAAGTCACAAGTATATTCTTGTTTGTTTGTTTTTTGCTGGGAGAGGGGAGTCAAACTGTTTTGTGTGCATCCAACATAACACTGTGAGACTACACTTATCTTTTATTCTTTCATTCAACCTGATGACCTGCGGTCAGACCATTTTAAAGTATTATATTTAAATCACATTTATATTTATATTTATATTTATACTTATATTATAAATTAACATGACAAATCTAGAGGTGTGACTCTATCGGAGCCCTGTCTCAATGAACAGGCAAATTACACATACGGTGCAGATGCGTTGTAGTTAACATGGATTTATTACTTTCCACAGGGCTTGCACATCTTCTGCTGGTCTCCATTTTGGCCAAAATCACAGGGTCCACAATGGATGCCTGGGTCTGTGGAACCTGAAAAGAAATTCAGATACAGGAAGTATAGTATAGTAAGACCCAGTAACCCACTCGGTTTGGGCTGGTGATATGCTTGACCTCTTGGAGGAAGGAGGACCAGAGGTAAGAAGAAAAAAAGAGAGGAGGACAATGGATGAGGTGTCCTCTCTGCGAACAGATGGAACTGAAGCAAGGAAAATGAAGCAGGGACCTATAGAATCCTCTAGCATACTGACCTGTTTCCTTTACAGACTATGAGGTTGTTGCTATTTCCCCATCAGTGAAATCCCACATCTTTGAATGTCATAACTGTCATAACTGAGCGAGGGTCATAACTGTCTTGCAGTTATAACACTTGCACTTACACCTATACTTATACTTACAGCATTCGGTGCACTTTTCACAACGAAATGAGCTTCCAAAGTAGACTTTGTAGTATCCTTTTTCACAGCCGCACACAGTGTCCTGATCACGTTTACAGTGGGACTCCTTTCTCTCATTTGCTGCGGACACAGGACACACATCCGAACTTGTCTCTAACTGTCCCTCAAACACAAACAGCCATTGTGCATACATCACATCCATCTTTTGCACTTCACACTCTTTCTCCTGATTTTTTAACAGGTTCCGAAAACCCCAACCCTAGTCCACCCCCTCCTTCCCCACCCCCCCCCCCCACCCACCCACTCCCAGCTGCAGTCTCTGCCCCCATCACACTATGATTGATTGTGTGAAGATGTGAATACCTTTCTCATTGCAACTTCTGCACGCCCTACACTTTAGTACTGTGTTTTCTATCTCGGTGAAAGAGCCGTCATCACAGGGAGAACACCGGATTTCTGTGCGTGCACACCCTTCTTGTGAGGATGATTTTTTGTGATAACCTGTGGGAAACAGCAAGGCAGCAAGACATGACCTCAGATCAGAAATTTCAGTTCTGTTCAATTCAGTTCCAGTGATAATCTTTTCACCAGAATAATACCACCTGCAATAACATGTATCTGTAAGGATGTATCTTTTAAGCATTCATGCCCATGCTACATTTTCAAATTTTCTACAGATCAGAAATGTCCTGCATTTAGACATATTCTGTTATTTAATGATGTGTCGCAGAACAAAACACATCTAGTGACTTGTATATACGTATGTCAGCCGGGCTCTCTAAATGTCTGTAGATGTAACAAAATTGCTAGGGTGAAAACATTAATAAGCATGGCAGTATACAGTTATGACTGGTTTGACTGGATTGTTCTACCCTTATCTTGCCCTGCCTAAACCGACATCCCATCCCCTGCATCAAGACCGCAATCTCAGCCGAGAGATAGGACTTCTCCACGAGAGAGACAGAAGATCATGTTCCCTGAGCCCTGCTGTGTGTGAGCCAATGCCAGCTCAGCAGATCTGGCTGCTTGCGTAGTGGGCTGTTGCTGAGCAGAATCAGGGTCTACGTGCGCCTGAGTCACTGTAGCCAGCCTTTGAGGTCATATCCTGCTGTATCAGCCTTTCTCTGGTGGGTCGGACAGAGCCCCACTGTTCACCTGGAGGACACTTCTGGCAGCACTTGTTGGGGTCCTTCCGCAGTTCGTCTGCACTGCAGGTCCCGTTTGTTCGGGCACCCAGCACCTCCATTTGCCTACGACTCCTCAGCAGCCCCGGTACAGTTGAGTATCTTCCTTGGCCCGCCAGGAGGGGGCGATCTGTGCCAGAGGGGAGGTTCCCGTGAGCAGCAAGAGAGGTCCACGTCAGAGGCATAAGCTGTCAAAAAGTCAGATAAAGACACGGCTTTAGTGTCACTTTTTCCACTGACGTCCTCTGTCTGCACGAGACCTACAGTGTCAGGGTCCTACAGTGTCATAGCCACAGCTGGCAAAGATGAAAGCCAGGCGCCAACATCTCTGTCTTTACTGTAACATGCAATCACACCTCTGTCTTATGTGTGATCAGAAGCAACACCTCTATCCCACAGCAGTGTAGCATAGTGGTAAGGAGCCTGACTTGTAATCAAATGGTTGCTGGTTCAATTCCCTGCTGGGACACTGCTGCTGTGCCCTTGGGCAAGGTTTGTAACCCAGACCTACCTCAGTAAATATCAAGCTGTATAAATGGATAACATATAAATATTGTAACCTATGTAAGTAACTCTGGATGAGAGTATCTGCTAACTGCCAGTAATGTAATATATCTACAATATCCACAGTGAGAGGCCATAGCTCTCTCCTGTCTTTAGGGGCTATAACTTTGTTCAGTCTGTGATGAGAGGCCGCACCTTCTGATCTTTCTTTGCCACTCTTTCATCGTCTGTGTGATCAAAGGCCTCCATCCTACCTATGATCAGAAACTAAACCATTGCCCTACACGTGCTTGATTCAATATTTGAACTACAAACATGGATTCTACCATCTTTCTCTCTAGCAACAAGCCAGGGAGGCCATCAAGTAATCACCAATAAAAAGATTCCAATAAGGTAAAACCATCCCAAATATTTACCAATGTATGGTGAAAATTCAAGGATGATTTCATATGTATTGATTCCACTGACAATCTTTACCTAAATTTTTTCTAATTAAATGAAAGCAAATAATATTTATATTGTCTTAGCTTATACACAAGCCATTAAAGTTTCTAGGTGTCATTTACAACCTTGATTTCTTAAAAAGATTTTAGTAACTTGCAGATTGCCTCAAGGGGATTTACTTATGATCAACCAAGGCCTTCGCTGGCTCACAATCCATTTACAGCCTACAACTGGACATCCCGCCAAAGTTTTACATACAATTAAACAAAAATTCATCACAGAATTCCTCGTGAATATTACAGTTTTTGCATCTGAAAATTGTCTGTCCAGACTCTCCCGTCATTGCCTCAGTTATCAGTTTTAAGGCCGAGTACCAATGGGTGCCAGGTGGATTCACAACAAGTATGTGAGAACCAGTGACGGCAGCAGGCCAAGGCTACTCTGATCAGATGGAAACTATCCAGAACTTTAATTAAGAGTGCCATTTTAATTCAATAGGAGAAGGGAAATGAGAAGCAATACACCAGTGAGAGGAAGTTTCCAGGGAAATGACCCATTAAGGTGTGAACCACAGCAGAACAACTGGAGTTTCTCAGCAATGACGCACCACATGCATACTCAGAAGCGCACGCACAGAGTGATCCGTAATGTCTCTCAGAGCTTAAGAGTACAAAGTGTATTTGAGGGATCATGAAGAGCTAAGCACTTTCCTGAAATGTATTCAGTCACAATTAAAACCTACTGGAAGATCATTCTTTACTAACTTAATGAAGCGCAAGATATTGCATAAAAAGCAATGTGCAAACTACTTTGCACCAGGTGGCCCCAATACCTGTGTATTTACACTGTACCTACATAGGATGACTGTGTACATACACATAACCCTTGCCAGACAAGTCTAATTAAAAAAGGTGTTTAAAATTTGTATGTACTGCTCAACTACGATTATCTGTCAAGTAGTACTGGGTAGTTGCATGTATTTAAAGTGGAACATTTTTACTTTTTTTTTTACCCTTATCCAAAGCTACTTGCATAGCTTACAAATCATTGCTGGATATTTACTGAAGCAATTTCACTTATCAAAGTAGTAAGCTTTGCATTACAAGCCTAGCTCCTTACCATTGTGACATGCTGCTGCCATCCCAGTCTCTGGGACCAACTCACTTTTTGCGTCCAAGGTCAGAAAAGACGTAAAAAGCAATAGTCAAAATTTTCTCAACAGCATACACTTAAATACCACACACACGGAAACCCAAAGCAATGGACGCAGTTCAAAATCCCATTATTTGTTCCTGGCTGAAAATGTTATTTTATTTATATTTTCAATGCTTATTAATTTATCTCAGTAGAGACGTACAAATGTGCATTGCTCTCCACTGTAGGCCAAAACTTTATTGATATATTCGTTAATGTGTATTCTGTGTCCGCATTAAGCGCAAAAGTAAGAAGAAAGTAATAGTTTACTTGTGTGTATAACAGCATAACAGTTAAGTGCAATTTAACATTTTAAAAAAATTACATTAAATAATTTGATTCAGTGCTAGGACATCGCACACCGCACAAAAAGCTTCCGTTTTGAGCTGGCACTCCGCCCACGTTTTACTTAATCATTCTCTAACGCATTAATGTTCTCTAAAGATAAACAACAGGAGTAATGTCGGTACAAACGCTTGACGTTCACCAGCCCTCGATCGGTTTCACACGCCGCAAGCATGCACAACCAGGAAATGTTACAAGCTACTGTAATTGCTTTCGGTGTGCTTCCTAGATAACACCGTACCCAGTTCGACATCACCACAGGATATACACCAGTTATTAATGGCACAATTTTAACGACACTCCTCTGCGCAGCCCCTGGCTGAGATTTCTGCCTTATTGTAAGTCGATTCTAAAATGTACACTGTCGAAATATTTAGCAATAGGGCCCAAGGTCTGAGCACACCGTCGAACTTACTCGCACCTCTTATGTACCCCTTCCGGATAGAAACTGGTAACCACATGACTGGCAACATACCAGTAAACACCTGCTCAAGACAATGTACCTTAAAGACGAGTATAAAATTTTACACTCGGCGCCACACCTAACTTCTTTCACGGGCCCCAAGCTCAAAAGGGCATACTAACACACGCATCGAGGTGAATTCCCCACACACATCCACATCATGGGCTTTAATGAACTGGAACTAGCGTCACTGAATCATGGAAATGAAGAATGCATGTTGCCGAGTTGCATCTGTTAAACAGATATACACCAGGCGTCTTCTTTCCTTCTTTGTATTTTTTTAAAAATGTATTTAATATATTTGAGTCTCCACTGCCAACCCACTTCGTGGTTACTGAATATATATTTCCAAACTTCAATACAACTTCTAAACAACTAAAATAAAGAAAAAACATATTGCATTTACATTGATTGACCCTAATAACGTTTCTGAATACATTATAATTACTTAAACAGATCACACAAATGCACAATATTAAGATAAACCTGTAGCTGGAACACCATTTAATGCATTTATAAAGGCTAAATCCACCGAAAGCAGTTTAACAATTCATAAATTGTAGCATATAACAAGTTCGTTCTATAGGTGAGAAACCGAAAGTTTACATTTTGTAAACTCGGTAAATGTAAAACATTATATAACATGTATTTTAACAATATTATTAACAATAACTAGAGGAAAAGTAACAGTGCAATACATACCCACAAAAAAATCCAGCTTGAGAACTTCATTTTCAATTCTACAGTTTTTAATATTTTTAATAAATTAAGATAACTGTATGTCCTACCATTTGAAATATACTAAATAAATAATGCAATAAATGTTTAAGTTCATAAGTACAATCGATTTTAAAAGTGATTCTGTGTTGCTTTGAAGTCCAGTTCTTCAACCCAGAATTTCTTAGTCAACATTAACACTACCTGCTACTGTGAGTAACTGTCTGTGGGAAGTGCCGTAAACGGTCTAAATAACACAGCTATGGTGAGAGGAAATACGTCTTTGGAAACCTTTAAAACCGAGGGAGTGAAACAAAAAAATCCTCACAGACAATCCTTTTATCTTTGAGGTACTGCGTGTATGACAGGCTGGGACAGACGCTGCAACAGAACTCACATGTTACTGTTTCCGTCAGTGGTTATTACGTGTTCATCCCATGAGTGAATTTAAAAGACGGTCAAGAAAGGGGAATGGGTAATTTTCAGAAATGCACTAAAAATGGTATGGATCCACCGGTTGTTGAATGATGGATCTAAGGCACTACGTCTATCCATGGGAGGATTTAAACGTGTTCATACGTTTATCTTCATGGTGGAATTCTTGGTTAAAGACACATGAAATGGAAACATAGGAAGACGTGTACGAAACCTAACCGATTTCTGCTTCATACACCACCCACTGGCTGTGGTCCTTCACCATTGGTTACTGTGCTATTATGCTGATATTGTGCAAATGATGTTGAACAGTTTCACGAAAATAAGCCGTTTTTTTCATTTACCTTTCTCATTTTACCCGGGGCATATATATTTTCTGAGTTAAATGTTTTAGCTGGCTAAAACATTTATCTCATATAAGAATATATATGAGCTATGAAGGCTGTTTAGGGAATTACCCGCGTGAGATCCTGACGCGGATCCGGAGGTGGCAGACTGGCGAAGCGAATTGTGTGTAACGCTGAGACAGTGACCCAGATAAGGGAAGCAATGATTTTAGCCACCAGGTGTGCATCTGCGAACCTTGATGGGGGTAGAACTTTTCACACGTCATAGAGTGCAATATACAGCAGTGAGTGCTCATTGGAGGATAAGCTCCTCCACTGACATCATGCAAACAACTAACAAATCACAGGATGCCTGAGAGCTGTGAGACAAGGAAGCCCTGACTGATCTACCCACACCGGCTATCCCCACAGGGATATGATGCAAGATTGAAGACAATTTGTCTGTCCCAGTATTGTCTGCAAATTAGCATGAATAACATAAGCATAACAAAAGGGAATAATAAAACAAAACACAAATGTATAGATACATAATCAGACAAGCATACTATATTTAATGTGTTATTCCCTTTCAGTAGGCACTAACTTTAATTGCAGTCTTGTTTTTGAATTGTATTCCTTCTTGTTAATGAAAATTACAAGTAACTTTGTGAAAATAATTGTTGATATAAATATTTGCAGTTGCAGCTAATAACATTTGAATTCTTGACATTAAGAATAAAATTATGAATAAATGAATTTATATTTTATATTTTTTATAATTTATTTTTATTATATATTTATATTTTGCAAATATAGCAATTCAAATGAAAAAATATTTGTTATTGCAAATAGTAACACTGGAGTAGGTGTTCACAATTTGCAATTGCTGCCAAATTGTGTGAAGTACAACTTGGTCCAGTATGCCATACTTACCTTATTCTTATACATAAATAATTATTATACTTCCTAATAAAAGCCCTTGAAAACAAACGTAGCTGCTTTTACTGTCGTAGGCACAATGTGTGCCATTAAATTGTATGGGTTTGC